GTTGTTAAGCACTCAAGAAGCTAGAGTCACTCTCGGCTATCGCCTCGAGCGACTCTTACGCTTCTTTCGTGCTTAGCAACCTCCCGCGTGCACCATAACTCAATAGTGTACGCTGTGGTGTTTACCATTTGTTAAACAGTAATTTCGTTTAATATGTTATTTAGAGGTCTCTCCAGTAGCCATAAATTAGTTCTCAGATTGCTGGGTCTCACTTCGATTGACTCATCACTAAAGACTGAAGAAATTTAAGTTTAAACAACAGCCTCCCATGATTATGATGTGATTATTCGACGAAAGGCTATGTGCGCTTTTGCCGGCGCAATTTTAATAAAGTGAAACCGGTGTTTTGTCTTCAGTGTGTCAGATTCAGTCACACAAAGAAACCTTAAACCAAAGTACGTTGGCACGCTTTTGCTACCAGAGAACAATTCCAAACAAGTTACACGTTTTCAGATGTTGTTAATTAGATGTGTTCTTATGACAACATTGAAAGAATGATGCCATGGTTTCGGTCTCAGTCTATAGACAGCCCGGAGTGAAACAAAAGGCTTTGAACAGCGATACGTTCACTAATTTGCCCATTCGTGGAAGAGAAGGGTAAACATATGGCATCTTCCTTCTATTTTCGCTTCGTTTATCTATTGAAAGTCAGTAAACTTTTGCGTCGAGCTCAAATTGTTAGCATTAATTTTAAACATCATCTTCGACAAAAGCGTCCCTTTGTCATACAACACGCCGTTAATCACTTAAGTTAGCTCTAACAAGAAGCAAATAATTGTTATTAACGCGTAAATCATCGCTGATTATAAAATGTTCTTCATTTGACGGCGGCATTTTTCAATACCCGGGACTTCATTCAAGGTCATAACTTTAAAACCACCGCGATAAATCAAGGCTTCTTCATCTTGGCGACTCGTGCCTTGAATAGCACAGCACGAAAACTTTCAAGCCTCGGGGTGAAACAGCGGCATGACAAAGAACTCCGTTGTTGAAATAAAGCTTTTGTTCAGTCAGGTGGTAATGGTAAACTTGTGTATTGAGTTTCACCAAGCTGTTATTTTCTCATCTGTTTATTTCGTTAAAGTTTTGTTTAATGAACTTTTAATAAGCAACGCATCAACTGCGTTTACCCAATTCTCGTATTTAAACTCTCGTTATCTTGTCATGTGATTTCGCATTCAATGAAACAATTTGTCAGATCTTTAAAAGAAAGGATTCTGATAACAGACTAGATATTGATTATCTCGTGGACGGGTAAATATGTAATTCCGTGCTTCAAACGAGTGGAGCCCCATGCACGCGAAGCTTTCAAACAATTACGAAAGCTTTGCGGCCATGTATTATTTGTGGTGTTTACAAAAGCTTCCAAGTGCTTACGAGTTTGCTGTTCATAAACAATAGAAATGTAAAAACATGCTTATTTCACGTGGTCTCACCTATTTTACAACTTCGAAAGTTTTTCCTTTTTATATTTCGCACCGAAACTCCCCTGTTATCAGGAGGCTTTTTATGTTTATGGAAACCCTTATGAACTGAAGTTATCAAGAGTAGTTTTACGAAAAGAATGCATTGTGATTTCGTAGGTCTATCGAGAACACTTCATGAGGCACTTAACCTTGAACAAAGATTCTTTGCCATCCATTTCAACAAAGTTTTGCTTTATTTTATTGAACCACAATGTAACTGATGTAAGAATATCAAAGAATGTTGCTCTTTCGCGCGTATCAGATTTTGAGAACTTGTTAATGTAAGCCGGGATAAACGTCGAAAAAATTTTGTAGTTCTCGACACGACACTTCAAGCGTCTCGAAGAGTGTGCACTAAAAAAAACGTAATTTCCTGTTGAATGTGAAGTGTTGACATCTCATTCGAACTCATTCAACTTTGAAGATCTTTCCAATTCGAAAAGATCAATTACTAATTAAATCAGCACTATTTGATTCTCCTCGATTTTCATCAGGAAAGTAACTGGATTGCAATGTTGATACGAGGTTTTCGTTTACTGTGCTTAAGAAAGTCTTCAACCTTTGCGTCAAAGTTAAGCTTGATTCTTTACTTTAGTTCGCTGAACGAAGTACGGTTAAGATCTGATTAAAAGTCAAGGACATTTTAAGTGAAGATTAGTTGAAGTGAGAGCGATTAACTCTGATAACGACCTCCATATTCCGTGCGATTAAAAGGCCATCATGATCATGACGTAAATACTTATTTTGTATCCAGTGAAATGATTAATTTCATAAACCTTACAAATGTCTCCTCTATAAATTCATCCATTTTACAGATAGGATTTAGACAGGGCTTCTTTGAAATACATACACGAAGGATTATCTCGTTCAACCTTGAAACGCTGTCGTCGTTTCTCACAGGTGCCAGCTTTGAACAGACTTTCTCTTTGGCTGTTCGATTCACTCTCGGCAGAACTCGTTTCACTATCCGACTCCTGGCCTTTCTGAAGCACTTCAAACAGGTCTCCAATGTAACGGATTGCATAGCGTAGTGTTTGTATTTTGGACAGTTTTTTCTCTTTAGGAGCGAAGGACGAAGGTAGGTGATACCTTAGTTCTAACATGGCAGCACTAATACTCCTCATCCGCGAACGTTCTCGAGCATTCGCTGTCTGTCTCTGCTTGCTTAGACCAGTAAGTCGCGGTTTTCTGCGCCGTTTTTTCTTTCTATTTACTCCTTTTTTGCTTTGCGCTTGTAACTTCTCCACAGCCATGTTTGTTCAGTAGAAGTTTTGTCTTCCGGTGTGGATCTCTAGTGAAACTCTTGTAAAATTGACCAAAAGCGTTCGACCGATCTCTGTGTATTAGAATTTGGCCTCCTCTTCCTTTTGCTAGCAAATGAGTATTTTTCTTGGTGCTCTAACCAGAGACTATTTCAGCAAATCCAGTCTTGCGAACAGTTCTAACGGGAAACACCTTCCCAGTAGCGAAGCGCTTGGAATATAATGCAAACGGGAAGTGGGCCAATTTAAACGAGTCGGAATGAGGTTTACCTGACTCCGTATAAAGTTGCCTTGGAGCTCGTGTTTTCAACTGTGAAATCAAATTCTTTGTAATTAAATAAACCCAGACGGTCAAATTAGAGGTTTGCTCCCCGATCAACCGTCGCTGCAAACTGACCAACAGATAGACAAAGAGTGATCAACATTATGTAGCATATTTATTTCAACATGGGAGGCGACTCGTTTCAACAATTGCACAAAATCACTGCAGGAGAGGAGCATTTTTTGGCTCTTAAAGCAGCTTCAACCTAGGTGGCCGGAAGAAAGCTGTCCTCGATTCTTTGTTTAACCTTTCAGATGCACATAAGGCATTTCAAGACCTTTGTCCATCTACAGACTTCGACACAAAGCACTTGCTGTCACTAATGAACTAAAATATCAAACTTGTAAACAAGAACAAATTACTGACCTGGAAAAAATTTTTAAATCTATAAAGAAAGTTTCAGTCACACCAATTAAAAATGCACCGTGTTGAAACATTGAGTTTTTCCAAGTTGCAAATAGCATTTCAAAATCATTAATACCCTTAAATGAAGTTGCAATAGGTTTCTGAACGGAAAAAGTTCAGGTAACATTCTTACTAGGTTTCTAAGAGGTTTTGCCTCCAGGGTCACTCGGCAATTAGAGTTCTGATAAAGAAATTCTTTCCGCTGAACTAAGCATTACACAATATAGCTTCTACATATAGACAATGAGCTATCTGGGAGAGCCGGACACATGCTCGTTTTATCTTGGTGTTTTATCAAAATAAAACGGTTATCTCACTTCTGATCTAACTTATGACCACGAGGTACAGTGTCCGTCGACTCCAATTGAAGCATCTGCCTGCAATCAAGTAAAAATGTTGCTTAAGACGTAATGATTTATAGCCTTCCTTTCATGCGGTAACCGATCCGTTATAATTAAGCTGTTTGCAAATCACTTTAGGCTACTCACATAATAACTAGTGCTCTCTAAAAATAACCAATTGAAATATTTGCATCATTGCTGCCGGGACAGAATCGTTACCGGCAACCTCTGCGCGTTGTCTGGGTCAAAGACAGTTAAGCCAACGAGTGTGAATTAAAAATACAGAACGAGAGCAGGTGAGTGATCAAAACGTGGCTGTGAGAAAACAAGGGCAAGGGTTCCCGCTCTCTTGCGCGTCTTTGGTGCGTCGTAGTCTTCCTGTTCTCGAATTTTATTCACAATACAGTTCATCAGCCAATGTTTTGATATCAAGCTCTTATTGGTCTCATTTAATAAACCTCTAGTTTACACTATTTGTCAGTTTTGTTTTGTTTTTTTTCTGTGTTTGTATCTATACGCACATTTTCTAAACTTTTCAGCCCGGTTTTGTCTTTTCTGTTTCAGCTGGTTTACCTTCAAGGGCTCTCTGACGTCCGAGTTCCTTCTAAGGCTGTTTTTCTTTGGTCTCAAGCGCATTTTAATCTCATCGTTTGTCTTTTCATTTTCATATTCATCGTTTCCAAATTAAAGGTAAAAAAGAATATTGTAACTAACTTTTACCCACGGCCAAACAGTGTGTTACACTTTCTTTCAGAGAAATAAGGGACGTAAACAAAGGAAAACAAATTAGTGGAAAATGACACATAAACTTTAACATGCGGCGGTCATGCCGAGAGTTCTTGCCCGTCCAGCTTCGTAGCTAAAACGAGCTTGTACGGGCAGGATGAGAGCTTTTCGTACACGGGGACTAAGATTGGTCGGCCACCGCTTGAAAAAAAAGTCAGTCGGCTCTCCGCTCAGTTTCACGCACTCCTAAAGTTTCAAAATGACTGGAAAACATAGCCATTTAATGCACGACGAAACGAACATGGTGCATAACTTAACGGTCGACATTAAGTACATGTTTAATGCAAAAAGAATTCTTCCATCGACAAAACGAACAAATTATTAGAAAATAATCGAATAAAGAAGTGGAGACACGGTGGCCTCATGGTTGGTGCACTCGACTCCGGATCGAGTGGTCCAGGTTCGAGTCCCGGCCGGGGACATTGTGTTGTGTTCTTAGGCAAGAAACTTTACTCTCACAGTAGGGACTTTAAGCAGTCAGGACGGCAACGCCACGGAAGACGTCGCTTAAAAAACCAGTTTCTACTTTTAGTTAGAATTTCGAAAATAGCTGCATGTGTTTACTGTTTCATAGGGCGCCAAACCTCAAACTCAACATAACGTATAAAAGTAGCGTTGAGTTCCAAATGTAAATTAAAATAATTTGCCGCCGCGGTTTCGCTTCGCAGACGACGCAAATTTTGGTGATTTCACGTTGTTGTTTTGCAAAGACAGCCAAGAAATGTACAAAGTTTTAAAACGCACGTGCTGGGCTATAGTTCTGCCAATTAGATCTATTGTTTTTCCACGTTCTCGTTCCCGTAGCCGTCGTGGTTTGCTTAAAGTCCCTATTGTCTCTCTTTATCAAGGTGTATAACTGGGTACTGGCAAATTTAATGCTGGGGGGTAACTCTGCGAAGGACTAGCATCCCATCCAGGGGGGAGTAGAAATACTCCTAGTCGCTTCATACCACAGAAACCGGAGTTAAGCGCCGGCCCGATGGGCCTCTGGCTCGATAACAGACTTAATCGCATAATTAAATATTATTTCAATGAATAAGAGATCGAAGTTAATTATTCCAAGACGTAAATCACAAACACTTGCGCCAGAATAAATAGTTTAATGTCTCTTCCACGTCTCCCTTACAACGTCAAAACGAGCAAATAACAAATACTTTAGTGGATAACAAGGAAGATGGCACTTTAATTCACACGGGATCTACTACATGGTGCGCCGAAGTTGAACTTTCTAACATCGACGAATTGTCATTCTTTTCTTGTGTCCCAATATCATCGACTCCTGGATTGGCTATCAAGCTTGCGTCTTTGTTACTCTCTCTAAAGAAAAACAACAAACAGACAGATAGTCACAAATGATTAAAATAAATAAATAAATAGAAGAATAATATATTGAAGAAAGATTCAGTTAAACTTGTTCATCTCAAAAGCCAGAACTCTTCAAGTTCCCACTAACGAAAGCTTACGGCACACATCCTCAGAAGTGAACTGTTCACCGTATATCACTGTAGTTCAACCATAGACATAGCCTAGGTGAACTATAGAAGAACAATATTCATTGGTTGTGTAGGTTTTGTTTCACTACGCCTTGTCATTGGCCTAGAAACTCGCATCACCTCATTAACCAGTCTGACGGAAAACCAAAGAATAATTGGACATCCGCGTTCACAACACTCTAACGCTCTGTTAGCCGCCTCGTAATGGAGGATTGAGAAAAAACGATTCCAGTTACGATAAAGAAGCAGTGAAGGCGTCTCCCGCTGCTGTGGTCCGTGTTCTATTCCCACACCTGCCATAACTTGGGATTAGATTTACACCAGTTCTCGTCCTTCTTGTCAGGATTTTCTTTAACTAATACGCATAAGCCTTTATACCAGTTCTTAAGTTCTGGGCTCTAAGTGGATCAGCGGATTTGTCAACTATTTGTACCACTACATTATCCAAACGGATAGCAAGACATCAGGTAAAGAGTATCTCATAGACACACAATGAAAACTTACAAGCGTGGTTCGTTTTCCAAAGGCAGAGCAGAAGTTGGTCGATCCTCGGTGAAGGGTGTACCTGGAAACAATTTCAAAAGAACGGAAAAAAATTTCCTTAGGCAGCTAGTCGTCACTTAAAGCACGGAAGTTGTAAGAGTTTCGGGGCCATATGAGCACAGAGTGAGTGAAAAGTTCACTGTTTTCCATACGTTTTGGGCCTGGCTTTTCATCAGTGGCAAAACACAATCGTTACACGTTGCTATGTGTCAAGATGTGAGCATTACAATAGAAAATTGTTTTGCCTCTTTTAAGAGTCCTACAAGCCAAACTGCAATACAGTCTGTTGTGTGCAATGTTTTGGTTAATCTATTTATATCAACGGCCGAACATCTTTTGCCGCCAATCTTAAAGATACGTCTCGACGGCGATGTAACACAAAAATGCATGCGCATCACATAAAAATGGTACTGAAAAGATTCTCAACTAGCAAATATCATAGCCCTTTACATCTGCAGAAATCTGAGGCCATCTTAGAGAGCGGCGAACTATGAAGTTTGTCGCTCAAATCAAAGGTACTTGCAGGTTATTTTAAAAGCGTATACATACTACCCGACCACATTTTCCTTGTTCCGGGTGAATCTATCGCGTGTAATCGAGCACTGTAGTTTTGAAATGTGCTGGTCGTAACTTTAATACAGTAAATACACTCTAAGTGTTTAGATTGGTTTGGCCTCTGAAACAGATTAATGGCTTAGAACAGGAAGGAATTATTTGGCTCACACAAGTAATTGCTCTTTTAACTGTTGTTTTGTCAAATTTGTTGGTTTTCTGTTTTCACGGACGGATCATTTTTCAGCAGAAAATTGTGCACGACCAGAACCGTAGTTCCCTTCCGCTGAACCAAAGAATCGCTGTTAGAGAGAGGTAGCAGGAGTCCTTGGGCTGAAATATCTGTAATGCAATGGATTTTTCACGAAGCTGGTGGGAAGGGGTTTGCCCCACCGGGAAAGGATAAAGATTCATCGGAGATACAGAATCTGGCTTCGCCCCAAGGTGAAGGCCAATGAGTGTAAACTTCTATGACAGCACTTCTCTAAAAGGGCCTCCAGCGTTTAAAGAAAACTATTTCTGAGCCCGAGGGATACCCTTTAGTTAAGGCTCACCAATATTAATCCTTACCCGCGACCGGTCTTTCAGCTGTGTTGTCGGGTTCTGTGTGCTTGGTGTCATCAGGCAGTACCTTTTTAAAATCAAACAAGATGCAATATTTCAACAGTATGTTCAAGAAATCCTTGATCAAAATAAATAAAACTTTGATCGTTTGTCTCATGATTCAAAAACGACACAGGAAGGGTAAATGGAAGGAAAAACATCTGCTGATCGAGAAAATGATATGAAGTGGGAGGAGAGGGTCAAGTCCTCAGTTAGCAATGCACGAAATCTAACCAGTTATATGTACCGACGAAAATGTGGCCATCACAATGTACGATAAACGAATGAACGTTTAATTCTCGCGGGCAAGGATCTCACTATGGCCTGGGATCGATTCTCAGACCTGGGATCCGTTCCTCGAAATTCTGATAACTTTATGGAGTAGAAGCCACATGATAAAATCTCAGTCGAAGGGTTAATAGTGTGGTTTTAACCAAAAAAAACTGACACACTGTGTCATCTTCAGATAAGATTAATTTTTTGAATTTCAAAGTCATCGATATCAAGATCCTTAAGTTCGAACGCGACCAATAGAGGTCAGCTTTCCTGGACCGGTATTTACCGGAAGGCACCACCAGTGGGCCCCTCGCATCTCACCTACACTCTCAGCCATAATCAGTTGGGACACTTCTCCAAAACAACTATTGAGAAGTCCTTTCGCCCCTATCTCTCTTCAATGTGGTTCATTTCCTTGACATCTTACAGACCATTGTTAAGGCCAGGAGAGGCAGTAAGGGGAGTTTGTTATGGGTTCTCGACTTTGTTCTCGGTTTTCAAAGGCTCTCCCTTTTTTCTTTCTTCCTCAATTATCAACACATTGAACGGTCATTAGATCGAAAACAGGGAACGAATAGCAATATCTGAGACAACTTTCTGTGAAATTCGGCCTTTGTCCAAGTTGAGGGCTGTCCCTCGTTCCACTAAAACTCAAAACTTTTTAAATCGATGGACAGAACTCAATGAATGTTACATTTTTTCGATTATGCACATTCTAACTCACCAGGGTTCTAAATGGCCTTGCCGTGTAATCTTTCCTATCTTTGACGATAACTGCAGGACCATCACTCTAAGAAAAAAGAAAAAATTCAAATAAAGGGGAGGGGGTTAGGCTGGAGTGTTGGTGTCGTACCAAATAATTATCGACTCTTCCCAGCCCACCCCTCCCCTGTGTGTATCCCGTCATAGCTAAATACATGTAGCCAAACGCTTTAAAGTTCGCCATTCTTCATCCGTGTGATCTTATCATCCAAAGCTGGGTTCCCTGTAAACTTGAAATGAGGCACATAATACCTTAGTAGAAAAATGAACTTACCGCATACACCACAGCAGCTTGCTGAAGTCTGGCCGCTTGTCGTTGAAGGGAAGTTCTCAAGAAACTTTCGTCCTTCAGTGCGTGTAACCTATCACCAGAAATTCGGATGTGAACATTTCAAATGTTTTCAACATCTCAGCGTCGAACGAAATAGGAACAATGGTACAAAGACATGTTCGTCCCATTCAAAGACGGTAGAGTACACGTAAAGAACTGTTGTTGACTAAAACGAACTCACGTTTTTTGCAAAATGGTGACTTTCATTTCCCAGGTTCTGTTCACTCTGTCAAGTTCTTTTTGCAGCCTAAAGATATAAATGAAAAGAGAATAAGGAATTATCTAAGCATAGGGAACACTCCAACACTCAGTCATAACTCTCGCTGAAGCAAATCCCTTGTGAATCTCGTGCAGATTTCTATCAGCCTGTTAGAAAGGTTGTTTCTATAGACAGGCAAAACACAACCGGCCTTCCAGCCAACCAGGTTCGGTCAGTTCAGTTCGAATTTTCTAAGGTGTTTGTGACTGGATCACTTCATCAAGCACACCTTACAATCTCAGCTCTCTGTTTCTTTTCCAGTTTTTGTAATTTTCTCAGCAACTCATCTTTCTCAGACTCATCTAGCTGAGGCTTCTCCTGTAGCAAGAGAATTGATGAAAACAAAAACTACTTGGAAAAGAGTGAATCTTGTAAGTTTATGCGCAATGAGTACAAGAATAAAGTCACTAGAGTTTAAAAAAATCTATGTCCTTTATCTTATTCTTTAAGATGTGGGAACCATACAGGTGTATTACATGAGAGGTATTGCCGAAGAATGCAAGAAAGTGAGCTTATAATCACATTATCACAACTACATGTCCTTACACTAAAAACAGGTGAACCTTCCTATGCCCCCGATAACGATGCAATGTAAAAACACCAGAGTGCACGACAGAAAATACATTAATCAAAGTTTTGAATTATCAGTGCATAGATTAACAGGAAGTTATAGAATGGAAGATGAACAAACGAGTATCTCATGATCACTGTTCTGCATAATAGCGGAATACAAGGTACGCGTTCAAAGATAGTACAAGTAGGCCTCTACACTTAAAATTAGCTTCAATACTAGGACTTTTGTCACTCTTTTGATCAACTTTTCGCTCGACGCTCATAATCAATCAATATGTCAACATCAAAACAATCTACATCAAGTGTTATTTCATAACGCCATGGGCTTGAACGAAGAAACCATCTCAAAAATCTCAAAACTCGCGGCCAAACTGGGCGGAAACTTTTCAATCTCGAGGCATTTGTTTGCTGACGTCATTAGCGTGCACAATAGGATTATGCAGCAAGCACGCGCGGGTACTCTCGTTTCCAGGCTATCACTCTTTTCCAAAGCGGGCTACTGAATTTGAGTACTGAATTTACCATATCAAGACCATAATTTTGTCATTCATTTCATTGCATATTCATTTCTCTCCAGGCTTAGGACAATAAATCAACAAAAACTCGAGACATAAACAATTATTGACAAAACATTCAGCAGTCAATTGGTTCCCAGATCTCTTACCCATTGCCCCTTATCCGGCCTTACCATTCGCCTGAGCCTGGACACCAGGACGCCTGGCTCATAGTGGACTACTGGAACCCGCTCGGTAAGTAGTCGTCGGGTGACAGTGGTGCTTTCAGATGGTGCAAGAGTGGTGGACTTTTTGGTGCAGGCACGTATGAAGTAATAAATGAAGTACAGTGCATGGTGCAAGGTTAGTTAGGCTTTTTTAAAAAAGAAATTGAACGTCTAGATCGACACTGACAATGCCTCATGCGATACTTCTGCCTGACTCGCTATAAGCCCTGCTAATACTACCTGCAGGACAATGCTCGAAAAGCTGGTAACTCCAATTCCTTTCTTCCTGTAGCTAACTAACTCGTGCATAAACATCATGCCGACGCATCAGCATGGTCCTTTTGTGAGTAAGTTTATCAACAGCCTCTGATGTTTATCGGTGAGAGAAAGATCTCTGCACTTCGGGGACTAAATATCATGACGCGGCGTGTGTACTCCAGTCGCCACGGATAACTTTTTTTTGATATTTTCACGTTGATCAGACCAAGAGGAGACAAAAAGAGCGCTTCAAGATCGTCATCGTTTTACGTAACGCAGAGTCTAGGCTTCAGCTTTTCTTGACGCATCAACTGTTCAAATCAATACCTTCGACAAAAGTTACGACGCACCTTTTGTGGTCAAAAACAAGAGTCTCAGGATATCCTGAAGAAACCCTACATCTTTAAAAATTTATAAACGATATGAGAAGAAACCTTAACATGATTTTCACTTGGCTGACGGGTAGTGCCTCCGTAAAGTTTTATATCTCCAACGAGATGTCCTGTTCAACGATATTAATTTACTCTACACCGTACCTGAAGACAAAATAATGCACAGAAAAAAACCTCACGAAGCTAGATCTTTCTCATAATCGGAGACAACAGAAAATCTGTCAGTCACTTATGATGGCCAGTTCCCATCAGGCTGAAAATCAAACCTAGATAGACAGGTAACGACAATCTATCACCTCGTAGCTTAGCTCAGGTCAGGTCAGCGGTCATTGATCAAGATGGTCGCAAATTTCTGAGCAAAGGAAGCTAAACGTTTGTTATTTTTTCCCATTACTTAGTCACGTCAAGTGAGTGTTTCTGCGTTAAAATGTCTTCCAGTAAGAGAGGAAAAAACATACAGTCCAACGTTACACCAGAAGATTTCGAAACATTTTGTACGAGAACCGTTTGCCAAATTGAGCAAAGGTCAAAATACGATTCTTCAGGTTATCACAACTTTAAATGGCATAGTCCACTTAACGAGGGTTCCTTTAATTACATCAGATTATCTTCGGATAACTTACAACTCTAAAAAAAACAGTGTAGCTCGCCTAGATACCCAGCAACTTACAAGCAGAAGCTGTACTTCCTGATTTTAGAACCTACGAACAATTTCCTGTACTCGCTAAAAATAAACAGGCGCATCAAGTGATTAACCTTTTTCTAAAGGATACTGATACAAACAAAGAATACCTCAGTTTGCCGACTCTCCAACAACTTTCTCTTCTCCTTCAAAATCTCCTGTTCTTTAATCTTCTGGTCATGAGCTCTCTGAAGCTCCGCAACTTGTTTCCGCGAAGCTGCCATCAACTGACAGAAAATAAAAATCATAGCTGACTCAGGGTTGATTTTTAACGAAACATGACGCATGGATGTGTTGATGTAGGATGAGTTGATCGTTGTCTAAAGTCACTCCGGTGTTACGTGGAAAATAATTACCCTAAGACTCACTTTTCAAGAACAGGAATGACATCGGAAAATAAAGACAAGAAAAATAAAAATGTCGACAACACGGGATATTCTGTGCAGACACCCTTCCAATAAGGTCAGTGGAAGCACAAGAACGTGGCAAATTTCTATGTCTGACTACGAAAACACTCAAGCGAATTTTTCACGTAGTTTACCACTGGTATCCCACATAACAAAGAAGGCAGTCAATGAAGAAACATTGGATTTCAGCAGATTGTGCTGAGAAAAGCGCAGAAGTTGAAGTTAAACCTGAAAGATGTTGATCGTGAAATGAACTCAGAAAGCGCCACATAAGGGAACTAAAAAGTAAACGCCAAATTGTGTTTGGAAAAGTGACAAAAGCAACAGACAGGGTGTAAGCAGTTAGACATCACAAGGTAAACACGTGGTTAACACGTGCAACGCCAGGCCAAGCCACCTGATGAAGATTCACTGCCAAGCGAAGACTATTGAATAGCCTGAACGTGATTGGCCTATAGGCAAGCAGATATGTTGGAAAAATTATTTGATTAGCAGGTCAGTTGGAGAGGAATCACATACATTGCTTTTGGTCTCCTGTAGCTTGCTGTCCATCTCTCTTTGAAGCTGTGCTCTCTGTTTTTGCAGCTGCTCAAAGCAACAAAAACAGTAAGTCAAATTAAACATTATTGAGTTTCCTAAGTTAATAAGTTTTCTCTCTCCCACAACTTTCTACAAAACAACGCTCTTTACTAAACAATGTCTAAGTCGCGACACGTTTTACCTTTAAATACTGTAAGTTACTAAGAAGTTTAATAGACTTTTCTTTTGATCAGAGATGAATTTCTTGGGAAAAGTGGTATATTATTGAGTCTATACACGAGAGGTACTTCAAAATTCCTTCATCAAAAGTAATCAAAATTTAAGTTTAGGATTTTACCTCAAGCTTAGAACTACTGAGAAGAAACAGTTTCGAATGAACGTTGAAGTTACATGTACAAATACCTCAACTGAAAAAAACTAGAAGTTCACAGAGAAAGTAACAAATTAATTCTACAGGCAGAAAATGTTTTGATTTAATTAAATTCGACAAACTTTATCAAAGGAAAAAGTTTGATCGAAATTAAACGAGTCATTTTAATCAGAATTATATTTAACAACTATTCACCAAAGTAGAGGTGGTTAGAGGTGGATATTTACCTCGCCGCTTCGCGGCTCGGTAAATATCCACCGCTAACCACCGACACTGAGGTGAATAGTTGTTTTAGTATAAACTAAAACAGTGAGATAATATACACCACCGTCGTTAATTTGAGTGATTTCTTCGCTTGTCACGGATGCAAACCGGGACGCCATTTTTTCCCGAGTTTCTCGGAGGTAAATAGCAAAGGATATTCGGAGTGATATTAACCCTGAAATTACTAATTTCTTTACATTGCCCTATGCACAACCTACTTGAAGCTATCAAAAGAGAAAGAAAGGTTTCACAATTTACAACTTAACGGTTTTTATATCCAAGTAGCATGTTTATTTGTAAGTAGTTATACTTTATGTTTATTGACGTCATTTCTTACGAGGAAGAACATGGTGGTTTGATCCACAGTTTTGACCTCGTCATTTAACTTGTGAGAAGATTCTTGATCAATAGACAGCTTATGTTGAGGAAAAAGACATCGACAATGAAAAGTAAAATTGTGGACACCTACAATGACTTCAATTACAACCATTAAAAAAAGCAGTCCATCGTGATTACGTTTATCAGTAGACATGCTAGAAATATTAAGTTAAGCTAAAAAGAATAGAGAACATTTTCACTCTGTTGGCAGTTGCAGGTCAGCCTGATAAAAGTAACCGGCCACAAACTTAATGAATTTTTTAGATTTATGGTTAATGTTTATACATAACGAATTACGACCCATTAATTGATTACACAGTAACTGGAGTTACGGTTGTAATTAACAGGAATCCTTGTATTTTAAAGGTTTGTAAGGAAATCTCAGAGGGCCATAAGCAAATTAATGGCGAGACTGAAATTAAAAGACCCTCCCAATTTAGACCTTTCATCACATCTAAGATTTCTGGAAACTAACCTCAGCTTTGAAGTTGTTTCGATCATGTTCAGCTTCGAGCAAAGCATCGGACAGATCTTTTTTCAACTGTTAAAAATACCGTGATCACACGAGAAAGTGAATTAAATGAAATAAGTACTCAAAAAGTACAGTTTTTATTTACCAAAACAGACATATCTTGTTACAGTGTATATGACAACTTAAATTACACCCGCAATTTGATTCATTCTTAGTTTTGATCTATCGGAGGACAGAAGCATGGGTGACATCACTAGAGACAACGCTTCACTTTTTTTATCTCGTAAATAAACAGATTTAATGTTGCCATAGATCTATATGCCATTATAGTTCACCACTAAATTTTCTCCGGTTCTTATTGGTTTAAATCGATCACGTGACGCGATAGTGTTCATCCGTGGAGAGACACTATCAGCCCCTAGTGCCCGCCCGCGGAAAATACCTAGATGGATAGTGCCTGTCCGCGGAAAATACCTGGATTGATAGTACTCATCTGTGAAAAGTTTTGAATAGTTTGAGGGCCGCGAAGTTAGGCAGATCGGAAAAACAGTGACTTTTCAATTCAGACAGGTATAACGTATTATTTAGCCAATGTACGGTTGCGAATTATTGACATTTGCGACAAGCTATAGGCGCGGAAGAAAATTTAGTGACGAACAACAAAAACAATAGAGTGTTTATGTCTCGGAACTATCGGTCTGATAGTTCCTCGACAGAAACACTCTATTGTTTAAATAGATCACAGAACACGTCAAAACGTTGCAAGAACAGACACTCGATTGCAACGTGGTAAGAACATACACTCGACTGAAACTCGTGCACAACTTCAACCTCGTTCCCAGGTCACTCATCTTCCCGGGAATATCAGAGACCCTGGGAACGAGGTTGGCACAACTTTTTTGTTCTTACATTTTGACGTCATCTGGTACCTGTTAATGATCAGACGCATGGTAACATGGAATATTTTTGTTGAGTAGAAATGATAAAGTACAAATGTTAGGCTTGAAGCATTCGTGATCGAGAGGTCTAGTACTGGTCGATTGCCTTGTTGATTGTGCTGCGTTGTTGGGCAAGACAATTTAACTTGTACAGTTGCTTTCTCCACTCAGGACCAGAAAGCCGTGCTAAGCAAACTTGTAAGGGGACGCTAAGAACTTAATCAAATGGGACTTAAACAAACAAAAATTATCTAATAACGATTTAAAAGTAGGAATCTATTTTAATAACCTGTTGGATTTGCTGTCGTTCACCTCTAAGTTGTTCATTTAAATCGTCAATATCAGTTGCTGCATAGAGAATAACACCAGCAGAGGTATTTACACACAGATGCACACTTTTAGTGCTGTACTATGAATACTTAGATCGCATTAACTGCAGGGAAAAAATCGGAATAGAAAACAGAACATCTTGTACATAACACAAGTACACGTATCATAAGGGCCCCACTGAAGAATACCAATGCAGCATCTGGGCGACCTTTTAAGATAATTCAATTTTATTTACAGTGCTAATTGAATATCGTAAAAGGTTTCTAGAGCTGACTTTCCCGAAGCGTTAGCACTTCGTCAGAACGAAGACATACGTTTACTATTATGGCAAGACTAGTGTGTGTATGGTCGTATATGCAATTATCATGCGCGTTTGACGCGCATATTTTGGTCCCCTTATCTTTGAGCTGCACTGTAATTACTCGGGCTTTCCGGAGGAAACGCCCGAGGTATAAAGTCGGCTTTGTTTGTTTTTTTTTTTTTTTGCGTTCGGTCACAAAACGCAGTTCCCCTATAGCGCATGCTACAAGTGTACGCGCATGCGTAGAATGAACCCCAGGGTGCATGGTTAAAGCAAGAAAGCAATGGCTGCCTTCGTGACGACAGTAACAATGGCAATATGGCAGTCCCCCTAAAGATAACTCCAGATGTGCGATATTGAAAGCCCGAGTTCACGCAGATATGCGTCTAGTTGTGAATATATTGATCTTTTTCTCTTGTCAAACTCACCTAAGCGTCTGTTTTCAGCTTCTTTGTCATCCAGTTCATTCATCAAATCATCCACTTTGTTCTCTAATTTCTCAATTTCCTCTCGCAGGTCATAAATCTCAGGATCTGTATAAACACTACTTGCTGATTTGGGTCTGTTGAGTACGTCCTGCAGTTCTCTATCGGCTCTCTCCTGTGCATCTCTCATTTGCATCTTCATCATCTCTATGATGGAGTCCTGCTGTTGTTTAGCTTTTTTCTTTTCTTCATCGTCGTCTTGGACCTTTTTGAGCTTTTCAGAAAATCTGGCTTTGTCTTGCTTGTTCTTTTTTGCATAATACTCCTAAATATTATTGAGAATATACAATGAAAAGCTTAAGTGTGCACTCGACCTCAGTGGCCCAATCAGCAAAAGCTTGTCCAAGATTCCTTAGAATGACGCAACTAAGAGTATTATTATTCCTTCCTGTATGGGATGTTAGTCAACTGCAAGGCTACCCTCTAGCATTTCAACAGGCTTCCCTGACAATTCACCAGTACCCTTTTACACTACGGGGCCCAGTTGTTCAAAGGACAGATGATGCTATCCAATAGACAAATCACTATCAGCTGATATATGTTAAGAATATGTACAGGACTATACCTAGATAGAGATATACCTAGTGGATACCATTGTCCACCCTTCAAACAACCAAGGCCTAGGTGGGGCAGGGCACTGTGAGATTAAAGTATTTTGCCTAAGAATACAACACAATTACACCCACTTCAATGCATCTCTTGCTACAGTGGCGGATCTAGGGGAGGGGCACAGGGGCCTGCCACCCTTATTTTAGATGAAAAAAAAGTTAACGCAGAGGGAAGAAAAGCTGGCAGGTGAACACACACAAACAAAAACACACCCCCCCTCCCCAACCCCTTGGCTCAAGGTCTGGATCCACCACCACACTTGTATACCATAAAAGGAGGGTCAAATGCATTGTTAGCTGTAAGGTTTTTACTGGCTGCCACCCACTTCTAGTAACCATGCTTCTGACTCCAAAAAGGTGCAATTACAAGTATGGTACACCATGTAAACTGACACGCTACACATGCTGATGCTGCCCTGACAAGAACAGACGTGGTCTGAAAGCAAAGGTTTACTCAGGCTCAATAAAATATCATAACATGTCTAATGAACTGAGCTAAAATAATTTTCAAGGAATGAATGAGCAGTATACTGTATCTTAAACTACAGCGGAAGTCCGTCGGACATTGCATTCAGTAACAGCTATTATCAAGAAGACTGCAATTGAGAAATCTCCACCTGGTGTTGGCTTGAGATCTGCGTTATAGCATCAGCAAGCTGTTGACGATAGCTTCTTCTGATCACATTGACACGCTAAGAAAAAAAGGAAGAAAAAAAAAAGAGGAAGGATCAGTGAAAACACCTGCCCAATTTTTGTTCTCGCCACAAACTTTGATGTCATCTGTGATCTATATTACTGGACTGATGCACGGCAACATGGAATCATTGTACTGTATTTACCAAATGGTAAACACCACAGCATATACTATTGAGTTAAGGATGCACGCAGGAGGTTGCTAAGCACTCAAGAAGCGTAAGAGTCGCGCGAGGCGATAGCCAAGAGCCACTCTAGCTTCTTGAGTGCTTAGCAAACCTCCCAAGTGTATCCATAGCTCAATAGTGTACACTGTGGCATTTACCATTTGTTTTA